ACCGACTATCCGCACTCTATAGTAGAGAGCAATAAATCGGAGGACATAAAAACAGTGAAGGTACTTAATGAGAATAGGACAATGTGGAGTGGGGTGAGTGAAGAGAAGAGGATAGAGAAGGATAGCAAGTGAACAATAGAGAGACAGGACCTTAGTGAGAAATAGATAGGGCTTATAAACTGTTGATGATGACATGTATGGTATTCTTAACTGGATTGGTCTGGGAGGTGTTTCATGATGGACAAAGTATTTTTACAAGCAAAACGAGAAATAGCAATTGACTGTTTTATAAAAATAATTAGAATAATAAAGATAATGATTGGGGAAAACAGAAAGGATATGGAATGTTGAAGTGGGGAGATCAATGTCCCTGTACTGACTGACGTGCATGGCATTCCCCTTTGTTAATGTAATACACTGTAAAGTTATATGTAATCCAATGTAATATGAAGAAGATATGATGATAAAAAATAAAAAATTAAACATAAAACACACAAAAAAAAGAAATATTAATACCAGGGACCAGTGGATGGCGTAGTGTTTAAGGTGCTGGACACTCCCATGTGGCCAACTATGGTTCAAGTCCCAGACCTGGTGGCTTGCTTTCTCACTTTCCCTCTCTCTCTTTCTCTCTCTCATTCTCTGTGTCTCTCTCTGGTAAAATTTTTAAAAAATGAATGAATAAATAAAGTTAAATAAATAATTCTTTAAAAGAAAAGAAATATTAATATCAATTTTGCTGCTTTTCTTGGAAAATAGAAGAGAAGGGATTGGTTTCCAACTTTTTTTATGAGGTCAGGATTACCCTAATAGTAAAACCAGACAAAGACTGTACAAAAAAAGAAAACCATAACATATTCTGTCTCATGAAATAAGATTTAAAAATCCTAAGCAAAGTATTAGCAAATTGAATTAACCAGTGTATGAGAAGAATTACAGCATGATCAGCTGGGACTAATTCAAGATATACAAGGCTGGTTCAACATTTTAAAATCATTTGCTATAATCCACTATATCAACAGAATAAGGGAGAAAAAAATTGTATGATTATATCAATTAACCCAGAAAAAACACTTAACAACATCTAATCTTCTTTCATGATAAGAACTCTCAGCAAATAAGAATCAAGAGAATTATCTTAACTTGATAAAGAGCATTTTACAAAAATCCTACAGCTAACATCATACTTACTGGTGAAAAACCTGCATGTCTTTCCCCTAAAATGGGGAATATGCCAAGTCTGTCCACTCTCACCTCCCATTCAAGATAGTATTAAAAGCTCAAGACAGCACACTATGGCAAAAATAAACAAATACAAGGCACACAGATTGGAAAAAAAAGAAATAAAATGGTCTCTACTCAAGAAAACATGTTAATTTATGCTTTAAAAAATCAACTTCCGGGAACCAGCAGTTAGCATAATGGCTATGTTGCTGGACTCCCACGTAGTCAACCGCGGTTCGCGTCCCAGACCCAGTGGCTTAAAACTCATGCTGGGCGCGTGTGCATGTGTGCCCAAGATCCCGAGAGGAGAATGGAGAAGGGATTGCGGCGTGACCATCCCCCCTGGGGGGTTAATTTCTCGCTTTCTGTCTCTATGTCTCTCTCTGTCTTTCTTAAGAGTGCACACGCCCTATAGTGAAAATCTCTCCAAAAAAAAGAAAAATCAACTCCCAGGTACTACTAAAAATAACTTCTAGGACTAGTGAGTTCAGTATGATTGTTAATCAAGATCAATACACAAAACTCAATTACATTTCCTTATACTAAAAACAATAATTTGAAAATAAATTTAAAACAATACCATTTACAATTGCTCCAAAGAAAATAACATATTAAAGTATAAATCTAACAAAATGTGTCAGAACTTGCATACTGAAAATTGCAAAATTCTGATTAAATAAGTCAAAGAAGACTTAAATAAATGGAAAAGTAACTTAGGTCCATAGATTAGAAGACTCATCATGGTAGAGATGACAATTCCCTCCAATTTAGCCTATATGTTTAAATGAAATACCTATGAAAATCCCAGCAGCTTTTGCAGATATAGATGGGATAACAATAATAATAAAATGAAAGGCAAAGGATTTAGAATAGCTAAAGCAATGTTAGAAACCAAAAAAATGGGAGCAATTGCTATTTTAAGTATTAAGGCTTATTATACAGCTTCAGTGAGGAAGAGTTTTATGATGCTAGCTGACAGATAGGGACCAAAGGGACCAAATAGAGAACTCAAAAATAAGTCCAGACAAATAAGCTCAGCTGGTTTTTGACAAAGGCACCAAAGTAATTTAGCAAAGGAAGTCACCTTTTTTTTTGTAAGGTTTTTGCCATAGTGCACATGCGCTCACCAGCAAGAGATAGAGAGGGAGAGGTGAGAAATCACCCCCTAGGAGGGATGGTTACACTGCAACCCCTTCTCC